CACCGAGGATTTCTGCTATTATTTTAGCCATTCTTGTCTTGAAACCACCATTGTGAAAACCATTATAGTGATGCTGGAATCCTATGTGGCCTTATCTCGTCCCTTGAAATTGGAATTGACAGTGAGGATAAATAGGATCCTCTCCAATAACCACGATTGGGGTAACTAGATTTTCTGCAATTATATACCGCCTAATTTGAAAGCATCCAAATACAGGCTTCACCATTAGTTTACTCCCACACTCACCCCCACACACACATCCCACCCAAACACCCGCCAACGCTCGCATATAAGCACACCCGCAACCACATACGCACACGCGCAGACACACCGGGTTACAACTAATCGTCATGTCCCACGACCACAATTTTGCATAAACGGAGAGGTGAAACTGTCAGTTTTGAGATCACAGGGGATTATTTTTGAGTCGTAGAAATCTTACAAGGGTTTTCTATAATTCAAAAGTATCATTGTAAGAAATCCTCAGTATTGGCATTTAACTATGATTTTGAGTTATTAGCTGACTTTTGTTTGAGCAACAATAGAGGCCAAACCGTCCCATTGACTCATGCTTATCTTCGCTTTCCTACCTAATTTTCAGTTTTCCAAAGAGAAAAGGAGCATTCTGATGTAGAACACACAGCAGACATGTTTATGTCAAAGTGAGACAGCCGTAAGCCCAAATACGGGTCTGGTCGAAGAAAATAACTAGTTTTGAAGAAACGGCCGTAACTTTCAAATCGTACGTCGGAATTAGACGAATTATATATGAAAATCGACTATCTCGACGAGACGGAGCCATCCAAACCGACCCCTTACGTTCTCCGTTTCGCCAAATTCCTTACGGTTTGAGAGATATTTGTATTTTTGTCTGTTTTTAATATTTTTAGTAATATTTTAGGAGTTTGTTTTGTTTAGGAAACAAATCCGATTTGATCTCAGATTTGACCGGTGGACTTTCCTAGTAATAAAGAGTCTTTTTAAGAGTTTTAATATTTTAGGAATTCTTTTATTATTTTTGGTAGAGTTTGAGTCCTTGTAGGAGTCTTGTTTCTTTTTTTTTTCTATTTAAGAAGATTCTTGTAAGCCCTAGAGGCATAACTTTTGATTAATAAAATTTCGTTTTCTTCAATATTTACTTCGTGGATTCGAAGCTCTTCGTGGATTCGAAGATTATCCTTGGTGGATTCCGAGGCTACAACTTCCGCGTTGCGTCACATTCTACCTGTGGGAGATATCACAGAGATCATTCCTGATGAAGAGGCAGACATTACCTTTCTCGAGGAGCCTGAGCATCTCACATGGTACCATCATGGGCGGAGGTGGAAAATCAAATTCCAGAAAGTAATTGGTGTTGTTCATACCAATTACTTGGAATATGTGAAGCGAGAGAAGAATGAGTACCTTCAAGCCTTTGTTTTGAAATACATCAGTAATTGGGTTATTGATATCTACTGTCACAAGGTAAGTGACTTTTCATTGAATTTAACTTATAGATTAAGATCATAATATCCTTTCTCCACGCTTTTGTCTTCTAGTAGCTTAGATAAAACAAAACAAACTAGTGTTTTGGATCGTAATCCTTGATTGGGACAAAATAGTTATTCGTTATTTCAATGTATTACCAAACAAGCAACTGACCTGACCTTCTAAACTTGAAATAATCATAAACTTCCTCAACATGCGTAACTAGTGCATCATTTGGTCGGTAAAGACCAGGTCAAATTGTTTTTTACAAAATATTGGGTGAGTTGAGGACACTTTTATGGCATGCTTAGGTTCGGGAAATGCCGGGGAGAAACGTACAGATACATGACGAATCACTTTTATGCCTTAGATTCAGAAAATACCAGGGAGAAACCAATAGACTATGGTTACCATTTTTATGCCTTAGGTTCAGAAAATACTAGAATATTTTCCGAAGTGTTAGTTGGCCCTTGGTTATTACAAAAAAAAAAAAAAAAAAAAAAAAAAAAAAAGAAGTTGGTGGCAGCATTAGGAAGGGGTTAGTTAATTAGGTTGCGCATTCGAGTAAGTATTTCTATGTTCTGCTTTTACAAGAGAATTCTTAAAGGGTTATTAAAAAAAAAAAAAAAAAAAAAAAAAAACGACAAACGAAGTTGGTGGCAGCATTAGGAAGGGGTTAGTTAATTAGGTTGCGCATTCGAGTAAGTATTTCTATGTTCTGCTTTTACAAGAGAATTCTTAAAGGAAGTGGGTGGAAATGTTGTAAATAAGAATTCAGGGTGTAGATATTACAGATGGAACTCATATAGATAAAATTTAAGAGTGTATTATAGATGCAAGAAAATATCATTTAGGATTAAGGTTGCTCAACATATACACATACAACCACAAAATTTATTGATTTATAGAATTATGTTCAGATCGACATGCTACAATCTGCGTTTCCTATAATTGCAGGTTATAAGACTATCAGCTGCTACCCAAGATGTCCCAAGATCCATCATGTGCAATGTTCATGGTGTAAATCCCAGATTTCTTGAGATTGGCAAGGTGAAACATGGGCATCAGCAGAGAGCTGAACAACCTTTTCCCGAGGGTGCCTACCATATTGGGAAAATGGTACGGAGTAAAGGTTACAGTGAGCTACTTCAGCTTCTTTTGGAGCACCAGAATGAACTTTCTGATCTTCGAGTGGATCTATAAGGGAGTGGGGAAGATTCTGATCAGATCAAAAAATCATATGAAAGCTTGAAGTTGAAGGTTAATATTTATCCTGGTCGTGACCATGCAGACTCTTTATTTCATGAGTATGTTGCCAATTGCCAGTTTTCATCTGTAATTTTTCTTCTTATGGTATAAATGCTTTTTTCTTTTTTTGGGTGTTTGAATTAAGTAAACAGCCTCCCCCTCAGACCCCAACGATTCCTCAAAGAAAAGAATTAAGTAAACAGCTGCGTGGTCTAATTTTTATTGCCAACACGTATTATTGTCTTCTCCTTTTTAATTAGTCTTAAAATACCTTCCACTATACCAAAACCCTGAGGTTGTGACTAGGGTAGAGAGCTATAATTATGTATTCTAATTGCGATGCCCATTTATTCATTCTACATCGGGAAATAACAAAAGTGTGGATGGGTTAATAAGACGAGTCATGGGAATCAAGAGTAACGATGACTAGTCATTTGGACCCTTTTTTGAGCCAAACAATTAATGTGTTGCACACAGTGGCTCCTGAGGTCTACATCTGCGTCAAAGGGCTCCCGGGGTTGGGGCATGACAATGGTATCATAAGAGTAATTACCAACCAAAAGTGGTTTACTAAGTGCTAAGCAGGACTAAGTGTTTACACCGTGTGAGCACGGTGAAAGCCACCTCTAGAGCATGCAAGAGTTACTTCTAGAATACATGTCGCCTGGTGTTGAACTTGGGATGAAACTTTGTCATGCCATGATCGTAATTGCATTTGAGGTAGGGTATTTGTGATACCCCATTTATTTGTCATGGGAAGATTACGAAAGTCTGGATGAGGTTATAGATGAGTCATGAGAATTGAGTGCAACAATGAGTAGTCATTTTGGCTGTGGTTTGAGCTAAATGTGTTGCACCCAGTGAGCCTCAAAGACTTAACATAACGCCATCGGGCTTGCAGGTCCAGTGTGTGACACTAACACGATCTTGTAGGTTGATCACCCTTTTTTATGGGCGGAAACTTGGATTATTTTATGCAATAATATGTTTTGTATTTTTTAAAATATGTTTTAAATGGACGTCTACGGGGATTTGAACATGTGTGGCTTTAGTACTATCTTAGAATCCCTCCTTGATGGTGAGGGTTGAGCTTTATAATTTAATTAATTAGTAATTCTAACAACAGTTTCATTTTGATGAGCTCATAAAAGTTCAAATAACATGCATTTTCACTATGCATTCTGTATTTTGATGCTGTTCTTTTCCATCAGCTACAAGGTATTCATAAACCCAAGTACAACCGATGTGGTTTTCACTACCACAGCAGAAGCACTGGCAATGGGGAAAATAGTCATATGTGCCTATCACCCGTCAAATGAATTTTTCAAGCAGTTTCCTAATTGCCATATGTACAGTAACGCCGGTGAATTTGTGAAACTAACTCTCAAAGCTCTAAGCGAAAAGCCTGAACCCCTTTCTGATGACTTGAGGCATGAGCTGTCATGGGAGGCTGCAACTGAGAGATTTATTAGGGTTTCTGAGATAAATGATGTTGATTCTAAGAAAGTAGTTCCTTCAAGTCTTCAACCTCCAAGCCTTTTAAGTTTGTATCTTCACAAGAGTGGATGAAGAGTTTAGGAGAGGCATCTGCAATTTTGCATAATACTGTTTCCGGCATTGTGGCTGCTCGTTGTGCTTTGGGTGCTATTCCAAAGACTTTGGAGCCCGACGAACAACAAACCAAAGAGCTTGGGTTGATTTCCCGTGAACAAAATAACTGACTAATTGCGAACCGAGGTCCTCACGACTTAAAGCATAGAAAATATTTCACCCTTCACTTCTAGATTCAGGTGCATCGTTCTTCATTTGTTGTTGTTTTTGTTATCAGTTTCAGTTTTGTTACAATGTACATTCATATTGTTGCACTATTTATTATGTAACATTACCACAACTAAGTAGAATATATCCAGATGGATATATTGCTGTAGATGTTACCTAACATCGGCGGTGGATCGATATATATCTCATTTATGGAGATGCACCGTCCATTTCTTGGCGTCATTCAATAAAAGTTTACCTGCACATAGACCTCCTCTGCTATAACTGTTTTAAAATTACTATCCTTGTAATTCAATTTCGGCTGATGGACCGTATCGACAATCTTTTTGACCATTTTGAGTGAAATTTTGGCTGATATCGTCCTTGATCGGAACTAGCCAGCTATCTGAGTGTAAAAGAGTCATAAAATTTCACCCAGGGGATCAATTTTCCAAAATGAAACTGAAGGTACAGTAAATTCTGAACAACAGTACTACAGGAGTAATCCGCTCCACCCACACGAGACGAGATCCGCCAAGAAATCAACTTCAATCTCGTGATGGTTCTTTATTTACACATTTGTTGCTCAAACGCATATATAGGCAGCTAGCAATCTTTATTCATACAAATTCGTTTTCATTTCATCTCTTATTTTAACTAGCGAAGCATCGTGCTAGCTAGCTAGAACCACAACAAATACATACATCAGCTAACAATAATAGCTTGGAGTGCAGGCTCGGGGCATTTGCTGTGGCACGCATCGTAGCTCATGTCCAGACAACGGTAGCGTATCCCCTGCGTTATCGATGCGTCCACCAAGCAATTCCTGCAGTCTGGGTGGCAACTACGAACCCAGTCCTCGCACTCGCACCTCGCGAATTCTGGAGCCCTCCTGTCGCAGATACCGCACTCGTTGCAGCACAGAGGCGGCACAATTTCCGCCTCTTCTGCAAAATTTTATAGGTACGCATGTCTTAGTTATAATTATATCATCTAGGAAAATTGTATATAATTAAGGGTTGATGCAGTTCGTCCTAGCAAAACTAAGATGTGAGGTTATTTTACCTATTTTTTCGGCTGCGATAAAATCCGTGAGATCAGAACGAGCTGTGGACCGTTCGGCAGCCGAGAATGCGATGGCTGCAACTAGCAACACGAGAACTGCTGAACTCTTCTTCATTTTTTTTTTGGTCTTAACTATTAGTTGCCTATCACCTCTCTGCTCGCATACGCTATTTATATAGAATTTAGCGGGGGAAACCTACTTGCTAGTTGATGAATAAAAAAGAGAAATGCTCGATTTGCTGGATAAGGACAAAGGGAAAAGAGGCACTTGACGTGTGGTACAGTGGAACTGTCACCTAGGTTTGGTGGACCGTCAACGTCACTTCTTAATGGACTAGATTTCGTTGCACATGTGGGAAAAAGTTGATGATTATTATCATTTAACAATCTAATTTCATAGATACAGTATTGAGGATTACATTATTAGTAAGGGCAAGTTCAGCAAGCTTCCAGACGAGAGTCCTAGTCACAAGCTCTCAAGAGCTCTCTGAGCATTTTGAAATAAAAAATTATAAAAATAAGCCTTGGGAGTAGGGGTGTTAACGGAGCGGATATGGCACTTACCATATCCATATCCGCTTACCCATCTCGGATACGGATACGGATATACGTCGGTAAGAAAAATTCATATCCATATCCGTCAAAATCGGATACGGTTACGGATATAGATGCGGATATATAAACGGATATGCATGCGGATACAAAAAGGATATGAGAAAACTAGATAGTATTCAGAAAAATATAGTCGTGTGATCAGTAACAATTTAAGCACACAAATCCATAGTCACGTCAAGTGAGTAGATCAGTGAATACATACCTCTCAAAAAAAAAGTTAATTTACCCAAAATTTTAATAAATAGCTTTTTATATGAAAATAATAATAGAAGATTGGTAGGTCAACTTCACAAAAGTCAAATCCGAACCTGGCCGGCTGGATTGACTTGTTATTGCTTGTTTATTTCTTTTATTTTTTTTTAAATTTGGGTTGTTTTCTTTTTTTTTAATTAAAATTAATCTGGGAGTGTCTGTTTTATCGCAGTTGAATTATTGTTCCTTATTGTTAATACTAATATAATGATCAGATTCACGGATAAGCATGTGAGTAACGTACAGTCTATTGTTAATCGTGTGTTCATAAACTTACCATCATTATCAATGAATGATCACATGAGCTACTGTTACCTTTTTTTTCATTTAAAAAGGATATTCCTAATCTAGATGTAAATTTAGCATGCTTTATCCATTGTTTCCTTTGCGAGTGAAACTCTTTGCTTTGCATCTGGAAAGCCTCAAAGAATTAAGTGGACAAACAGTCATTATTGATATGAGAATTCTCCTAAGAACAATCATGCTCAAAATGGCTGCAAATATCAAGATGAGGATGCATCAGCATGTGGAAGTTAGGGTTGTAAAAGACCGTAAGAGCAAGTGCAACAGCCTCCCAAGGAGGCTCCTAAGGGTGATGTGGTAAGGAAAAACTCTCAACATGCTCCAACAAGCTCCCAACGAGGCTCCTAAGTCCTAGTTAACGGTGGGGTCCACCATGGAGCTCCTAAGAGCTCCATAAATTTGTGTAGCACTTGAGAGCTCCTAAGGGGTGGGGACCCACTAAAAAATATTTTTTATTAGATTTATTGTTTTAAAATATATTTATAAAATGTTAGAGGTAGAAGTTTTTTATTAGATTTATTGTTTTAAAATATATTTATAAAATGTTAGAGGTAGAAGAATGGATTTTTTAAATAATATTTAAGCATGTTAGAGGTAGAAGAATGGATTTTTTAAATAATATTTAAGCTCCTAATTGGGAGTTTGTTGGAATATATTTTTCTAGTAGGAAGCTCTTAAGTGGGCCTCATGCTTGAGAGCACTCCAACAAGAGCTCCCTACTAGGAGATTGCTGCCCTTGCTCTAAATGTTGTATATACACAATGTACAAATTAGAAGTTCGTACTTTCACGATCTTATTTATTGTAATAGTCTTTTCGTATAGAAGATGCTAAAAGAAACTACTTAAAGTTTTGAGACACATTACCGCTTTACATTACTCAGACGGAAGAACCGTGCATAAACAATCACAACGATACTCAAAGCAATCAGCTAATGATGTACGCAGAACAAAGCACCACCAGAGAAATATATAATGAATTTGAACATTTTATTTTATTATTTAGAAGATTTTCTAGAGTTGAGTTTGGCTACTGTTAATAGTATCCAGTATGCGAATGTTACCAACCCAATTTTAAAAGTATACCAACGGGTCGAAATAACAAAAAAAGGCAAAAAATCTTGGGTTATAGCTCACGAAATTATGAATTTTGGCCTTTATGAATTTATTTGCTAACGGGTTGTAACAACTAAAAATGACTAAAATTTATGGGTAATAGCTCATGAAATCGTGAATTATGACCTCTGCGAAATTATTTGCCAACAGATCGAAACGATTAAAAATGGTCAAAAATCGTGGAGCTCATGAAATCGTTAATTTTGGACTCTGTAAAATTATTTACCAAGAGGTCGAAACAACTAAATACAGTTAATAATCATGGGCTATAGCTCATGAAATCATGAATTTTGGCTACTGCGAAATTGTTTGCTAAGGAGTCGAAAAGATTAACAATAGCAAAAAATTATGGGTTATAGCCTATGGAATTGTAAATTTTAGATTTGTGAAATTATTTACTAACAAGCCGAAACAACTAAAAATTACTAAAAACTATGGGTTGTAGCTCACGAAATCATGAAGTTTGGCCTCTATGAAATTATTTGCCAATAAGTCTAAACGACTAAAAATGGCCAAAACTGTGGTTTATATCTCATAAAATTGTGAATTTTAAACTTTGTATAATTATTTGCTAATGAGACGAAGCGAGAGAAAATGCCAAAACTAATGCTATAACTCACAAAATCATGAATTTTTGTCTCCGTGAAATTATTTGCTAAGGGGTCGAAACGACTAAAAATCATGGGTTATAACACACAAAATCGTGAATTTTTATCTCCATAAAATTATTTAGCAATAGATCAAAAATGATTAAAAATGGTCAACAATTATGAGCTATAAGCGATGAAATCATGAATTTTGGCCTATACAAAATTATTTACTAACCGATCAAAATGACTAAAATTGGCCAAAATTGTGGATTATAGCGTATAAAATCATAAATTCTGAACTCATGTAATTAGTTACCAATAGTCAAAATGATTAAAAAAAACTAAAAATCGTGAGTTATAGATCATGAAATCGTTAATTTTGATCTTCACAAAATTATTTGTTTATAGGTTGAAACCAATAAAAATAGCCAAAAATTATGGGTTATAGCTCATGAAATCATAAAGTTTGGATTCTGTAAAATTATTTATCTACAGGTTGAAATGATTAAAAATGGCTAAAAAGCATGGGTCAAAGCTCATGAAACGTGAAGTTGGGACTCCTCAAATTTATTTATCAATGAATCAAAATGTATGACAAAAAAATCATCAGTTATAGCTCATAGAAATCGTGATTTTTTGCCTATGTGAAATTATTTGCAAATGAATCGAGTCAACTAAAAAGGGCCAAAACTTGTGGGTTATAACTTATGAAATCGTGAAATTTGGATACCTTAAAATTATTAGATTACGGGTCAAAATGACTAAAATAACAAAAAATTATGGGTTATAACTCATGAAATTATGAATTTTTGGCAACGCTAAATTATTTAACAATTAGTCGAAAAGACTAAAAATGGCAAAAATTCATGAGTTACAGCTCATGAAATCATGAATTTTGGACTTAGTAAATTTATTTACCACCGGATCAAAATGATTAAAAATGGCCAAAATCATGGGATATAGCTAAGAAATTATGAATTTTTTTCTTTATGAAATTATTTATCAATAGGTCAAAATGACTAAAAATGGTAAAAATTATGGGTTGCTCATAAAATCGGAAGCTTGCATTCCTCAAAATTATTTACCAATAGTTGAAAATAACTAAAAATGGTAAAAAATCGTGAGTTATAGCTCATAAAATCATGAATTTTAACCTCATGAAATTACTTGTCAACAAATAGAACCGACTTAAAAATGCCAAAAGTCATGGATTGTAGCTCACGAAATCATGAGTTTTGGCCCTCCATGAAATTATTCAATAATAGGTCGAGATGACTAAAAATAGCAAAAAAAATCATGGGTTATAGCTTAATAAAAAGCGAATCTCGACCTCTGTGAAATTATTTGCCAACGGGTCAAAATAATTAAAATTGGCCAAAATCGCGGGTTATACTCATGAAATAATTAATTATGAACTCCGCATAATTATTTGTCAACGAGTTAAAAAGATTAAAAATTACCAAAAATCATAAGTTATACCTTATAGAATTTTAATTTTTTGTCTCCATTGCTAATGGGATCGAAATGGATAAAAAACATGGATTATAACCCGAGCATAGCAGTCGCATAACAAAGTGGGATTCAAGGAGTAGGGGGAAGAGCTCATTGATTGAAGGGGCAACGAAGGTCAGATCATAAAGAGAGTAAAGATTCCGAGAAAGGTAAAGGCGACGGGTGGATGGGTCATAACAACAATACCCTTTGTGTTCCACACTATAGCCAAGAAAAAAAAAGTTGATAAAGTCATGAATTTCATACTTCGCGAAATTATTTATCAATGAGTCAAAAAACTAGAAATGACCAAAAATCATGGGTTATATAGCTCATGAAATCATAAATTTTAGCCTATGTGAGCTTTTTTCCCAACATGTCAAAATAACTAAAATTGCCAAAAATCATGAGTTCTAGCTCACAAAATTGTGAATTTGGTCTTCATGAAATTACTTACCAATAGGCCGAAGCAACTAAAAATAGCAAACAGACATGGAATATAGTGCATGAAATCATGAATTAGTATTTATGAAATTATTTGCCATAAAACAGAATGACTGAAAATGGCCAAAAATCATGGGTTATAGGTCATATAATCGTAAATTTTAACCTTTGAGTAATTATTTGTCAATGGGCCGAAATGACAAAAATGACAAAAAAATTATGGATTATAGCTCATATAATCGTGAAATTTTGACTCTGTGAAATTATTTAATAATGTGTCGGAACAACTGATAGCAAAAGCCATGGTTTATAGCTCAAAAAATTGTGAAATTTGGCCTCAATAAAATTATTTGCCTATGGGTTGAAATGACTGAAAATAGTAAAAAATCATGGGTCATAGCTCATGAAATCATGAATTTTAAATCGCACAAAATTATTTGTCAATGGATCAAAGTGATAAAAATGGTGAAAATTGTACATCATAGGTCATGAAATCGTGAATTTTGGTCTTCGTGAAATTATTGTCTAAAAGGTCCAAACGACTAAAAAAGAACAAAAATTATGTGTTATAGTTCATAAAATCGTAAATTTTATTTCTATAGAATTATTTGTCCATGGGTCAAAACGATAAAAATAACAAAAAATCACGGGTTATAGCTCATGAAATCATTAATTTGGCCTACATGATATTTTTTGCCAATTGGTCGAAACGACTAAATGGCCAATAATCGTGATTTAACTCATGAAATCGTCAATTTTGGCTATCACAAAATTATTTGCTAACAATTCCAAATGACTAAAAAAGGCTGAAAAGCATGGGTAATAACTCACAAAATCATGAATTTTAGTCTCCACAAAATTATTTGCCAATGGATTGAAATAATTAAATAGGTAAAAAATCATTGGTTATAGATCGTATAATCATAAAAATTTGCCTTTGAGAAATTATTTTCCAATAGACCAAAATGATTAAAATGGCAAAAATGTGAGTTATGACTCATGTAATCATGAATTTTAAACTCCACAAAATTATTTGATAATGGATCAAAGTGACAAAAAAAATTGTGGGTTATATAATTCACAAAATTATGAATTTTAGCTTTTGTAAAATTATTTATCAATGGTTCCTAAAAGTTACCAAAATTTGCAGGTTATAGCTCATGAAATCAGAAATTTTGGACTCTCCAAAATTATTTGTCTAAGGGTTGAAACAACCCAAAATGGCCAAAAATCGTGGATGCTCACAGAATTATTAATTTTTGCCTCCTGAAAATTATTTGCCAACGGGTCAAAATAACTAAAAATTGCTGTAAATTATGGATTACAGATTTTATAACCATAAATTTTGGCCTTTTAGAAATTATTTGCCAATAGGCCAAAACGATTAAAAATGGCACAAAAAATTATAGATCATGTAATTGTGAATTTTGGACTCCGTGAAATTATTTGATAATGGGTCAAAACATCTAAAAATAACCATAAATATTGGTTTATAGCTCCTGAAAGTTACCACAAATATATGTTATAGCTTATGAAATTATAGATTTTGGACTACGCAAAATTATTTACCTACTGGACAAAGCGTCTAAAAATGATAAAAAAATATGTGTTACAACTCATGAATCGTGAATTTTGGCCCCTCCCCCGAAATTATTTGATAACGGATAGAAATAACTAAAAATAGCTAAAAATCATGGGTAATATCTCATAAAATAATAAGTTTTGGACTCTGCGAAAATATTTACCAATAGGTCAACATGACTGAATTTGGCCAAATTCTTGGGTCATAACCATAAAATCATAAATATTTGCCTCTATGAAATTATTTGCCCAAGATAAAAATGATTAAGGTAAAAAATTATGGGTTGTAGCTAATGAAATTGTGAAGTTTGGATTTTGCAAAATTATTTACTAATTGTTCGAAACGACTAGAAATGGTCAAAAATCATGAGTAATAGCTCATGAAATCTTAAATTTTAGCATTCAAAAAATTATTTAACAGTAATAGACTAAAAATGGTGAAAAATTATGAGTTACAGCTCATGAAATCATGAATTTTGATATCAGCAAAATTATTTTCCAATGAGCCGAAATAACAAAAATTGCCCAAACTCCTGAATATTGAACTTTTTGAAATTTTTTGATAATGGGTTGAAAAGAATAAAAATAACTAAAAATCATGTGTTATAGCTCATGAGAACCTAAATTTTTTGCTTCATAAAATTATTTGCCAATGTGTCAAAATGACTAAAAATTTCCATGTTATAACTCATAAAATAATGAATTCAGAACTCTGTAAAATTTTTTACCTATGGGTTGAAATGACTAAAATGTTTAAAACATTATGGGTTATAACTTATGAAATCATGAATTTTGGCATTTGCTAATTATTTGCTAATGGATCAAAATGACAAAAGATGGCAAAAAAAATATAGGTTATAGCTTATGAAATCGTGAACTTTAACCTCTATGAAATTATTTCTCATTGGTCAAAATGATTAAAAAAATGGGTAAAAATTATGGGTTATAGCCCAAAAAGTCAGTGCAAATTTATTTTTCAATGGGTCGAAACAACTAAAAATAATAAAAAATCATAGGTTTACAACTCATGAAATCATAAATTTTGGCCTCCGTGAAAAATTGGCTATTCGGTCCAAATGACTAAAAACATCCAAAATTCGTGGGTTATATAGCTAAAAAAATCATAAGTTTTAGCGTTTGAGAAATTATATGCTAATGGGCCAAAATGACTAAAATGGTAAAATATATTATGGGTTATAACTCATATAATCATGAATTTTAGAGTCTACGAAATTATTTGATAATAAGTCTAAACAACTAAAATAGCCCACAAATCGTGTGTTATACCTCACAAAATCGTGAATTCTGGACTTCATAAAATTATTTGACAACAAGTCGAAACAACTAAGAATTGCCAAAAGTCACTAGTTCAGATTGAGTCTACTTCAACAATCCAAGTTTGTAGCTAAGAATGTTCAACCAAGCAAGCCAATTGAAGCCTCTACTTGAAGAGCCTTAACACCAGCCAGGAGCAAGACGAGACTTGCCAACCAACCAATCTCAAGACCTCAGCCCATCCTCTGGTTGAAGAGTCTTAAAAATGCCAAGCTTCTCAACCAAATTGTTAGCTGAAACCCTTTCACGTTGGCAAAGGGGTCCTATAAATAGGCAAGGGATGTCATGAGTCATCCCTTGATTTGTGGGATGTGACCACTAATAGGAGTAAGGAGTAGCATACTCCCTCTATAGCTATGGGATGTGACCACTATAGGGGTGATGGAGCCATGTCTCATTACCCAGGACGTGGGAAGTGGGTAGGCCCACTCCCACAAGCAAGCAGCCATTTGCACTGTTCAGACGGGGCTGATAGGCTTGCAGGCGAGCTTGAGAGCTGCTTGAACATCCAGGCGAGCTTGCAGGCGAGCTTCAAGAACAAGCGGGTCGGCTGGCGGGCCCCTCGAGCGTGTGAGTTGTGCGTTCGTTGACAAGCTGAGTTCGCGAGCTTGACTCGTGCTGGCGAGTCAAGCCATATTGGCGAACTTTGGCTCGTGCAGGCGAACAAAGCGTGTTGGCGAGCTTTGGCTTGGCCTCTTGACTGAAGGCGAGCCTAAATAGGCGAGCTTAGAGCTCTCTTGTGTAAAGGCAATTTTTATTGCCTACAGTTTAGAAAATTGCTCAGATTAAGAGATGAAAGCTTCAAAGTGTATTGATATTGATGAGTCAGGGTGCAGATAGAAGGGGGACAAGCCAGCATTAATTTAGCGCCTCAAGTGCTACAAACTTCTTGCTACAGCTGGTGATAAAAAGAAATGGACTAGATTGGTATGGTCCTCTTATATAGTCCCCAAGCATGCATTTATATATTGGATTGCATGTTTAGATAGGTTGCCTATAAGGTACAAATTAAATGAAGAGGTTTGGTATTATTGATGAGGATGCATGTCCACTTTGTTGTGATAAAATTGAAACCAACAAGAGCCACTTCCTTTTTTAATGTGCTTATAGTTTACAAGTTTGGAAAGCTATCTCATGAGATTCATTCAATTACCTGATGCCCCTTGCAGATGGAATGATATCATTGAAAGGATGGAGAAGGTTATGAGAGCAAAATCTGCAGTTCATAGCTTTCAGAAAGCTTCGGTTGCCGCTTGCATATATCATTTGTGGATATCCAGGAATAAAAATATTTTTCGGCATAAGCTCATCTCAATTGAGCAACGCTTGCAAGAGATTACCTTTGAGATCAAGGTTCTTTTCAGCAGAGTAGAGCATTTGAATGATATACAAAGGCTAATAGAGTTTGGCGTCAGGTTAGGAGGATTGACCCTAAATTTTTAATTAGCTAGAAGAAGATGACCCTCGCAATGAGCTTTTTTTGGGGGGGTTCGTGAGAGTTATCTTTGATGTTAGTAATCTCTCGAGTCTTTCCTTTAGTTAGTTTGAGTGGCTTTGCTTGGCATAATTAGGCAATGCTGACTTCTTGTACATAAAATAGTTTTGCGCTTCTTTTACTACTGGTGAATAAGCTAGCTAGATTACTTACTTGCAAAAAAATAAATAATAATAAAAAGAAACCAATTGAACCAGCAGCTAAAGCGTTTAAAAACAAAGAAAACTTTAATCACGAAATTTGTAAACATTAATCTCCACAGGACTTTGCTTCACCCACAGGAGATCGACTAGATACGCCAATTAAGAAATTAACTCTCCCCAACCTCATGATATATAGTTTTCATTAATCTCTCTTATTTAAATATGCATACAGGGAGCTAGCATCAACGGCATAGATAGATATATATATATAGATAGATCCCAGCGATCAGTTAATAACAGATTGGAGGGCTGCAGGCTCATCATGGCATTTGCGGTGGCAAGCCTTGTAGCTCATGTCGTCACAAACGAAATATTCGGTCGGAATCGTACCCAGAAGCGGCACGCACTTCCTGCAGGCCGGGTGGCAAGCCCGAACTATGTCCTCGCACGCGCACCTCGCAAACTTCGGAACTCTCCTGTCGCACGAGTCGCAGCACTCAAGCGTCAGTGTGGTTTTCCCCAGCTCCGTCAAGCTCCCCACCACTTCCATCTGATCTTCTGCAAAGTTTTACATGCAGGGCGTCGTTGGAATATAAAAAGATAACCCTTACGTACCCCTCGATATAACTTCAAATCTCACCGGTCACAAATTTAAATCGCGCGGGTTTTTAAAATAAAACAACAACGCTGCGTGTAGGGGTGCTAAACCGTATCCGTATCCGAGGAAATATCCGCAACCGTATCCGTTAGAATACGGATATGGTTACTCAAATCAATAACCGATAGGATATGGTTACGGATATGGTTTTGTAGTGAAATATCCATATCCGTATCCGAAATATCTGAATACATATTAGTCGTACTCTTACGATAGTTTCGATTCTTGGATTATGGATTTGTGATTAATTTTTATGATCAATATGTCCAATCTTAACTTTTCAATTATAATGAACATATTAACGAACTCTTTTTGTATCACATGAACTATGTTTTTCTCCATACTATCTAGTTTTCTCATATCCGTTTTGTATCCGCATACATATCTGCTCATACATCCGCATGTATATCCGTAATCGTATCCGATTTTAGCGGATACGGTTATGAATTTTTCTTACCGAGGTATATCCGTATCTGTATCTGTATCGGAGATGGGTAAGCGGATATGGATATGGTAAGCATCACATCCGAGCCGTATCCGGACCGAGTGTACCCCTATAGCTGCGTGTGTCTAAGCTTCGGCCTATGTAAAGGCGTGTTAGAATATGATAATATAACTCTCAGTTCTAATTAACCACAATTTCCAAGATTGGATGTAGTGACAGGGTCCCTAACTAAAACAGATATGTGTGACTTACTAATTATATTAATAATGTGGTTGTTTAATTTACCGATTTTTCCGGCTGCAGCTACGAGACGAGTGAGATCAGAACGGGCAGCGGAGCGCGCAGCAGCCAAGAACGCCAAGGCTGCAACTACCAACACGAGAGCCGCTGAACTCTTCTTCATTTTTGCCTTATTTTAAGTAATTAATTGCCTCTCACCTCTCTGCTCACATACGCTACTTGTGGAGTACTTATATAGCATGAAAAAAAAAAAAACGAAACTATCGGGTGTGCAGTCTCTATTGCTATTCTCAAGGTAGGACATCAAACAATATACTGATACAGCTGCAATTAATTAATAGCAGCTCATGAGTCGTGAAACACGAGAGAAACTTTGGCCACGCAATTAGGTAGGGTTCACAGTTTTCGGATATATCTGAGGTTGTTTGTTTGCCCCAGTTTTTTTTTTTTTTTTCTATTTAGTCTGCAGGGATACTGTATATAAAATACTATCCTTTTCAATTAGAAAAGAGAGAATATCATTATAATTACATCCCATATCAAAGACTAGAATCTTCGATAATAATTTGAAAGTAGAATCATTTCCTTAAAGTAAAATCTTTATAGTATCCGTCTATCAAGTTAGTATAAATGTCAAAAACAAACCTCAATTACAAAATATCATTCTCAATGGTATTAAGCTTATCTTTAAGGGCGAGCAAACATGAGAAGAGGATTCAAAAGCTATTTCATAGATAGTACGTAAGACGTGTTTAGGGTCTACTAGTTTAAATATAAATAGTTGTGAAGTAGCTGAAGTGAAGGCAGCAAAAATAACTTACGCTATTACCGAGAATATATGTTTGTTTCTCTAAAAACCAAATTAATTATTATATTTTCAAATGATTAGCTAGCATCCTGTTCTTCATTTTTTTTTACCCCCTGCCATTGAAGGCTCAGAGATAGCTGAAACATCACGAATTAAAAAGTGAATGAACGAGAAGAAATACTCTTTTTTATGATGACTCTTAAGTTTACGAAATTAGAACTCTTTCAAATGAAGACAAAGAACTCACTTATATTTTTTCAATTTTCTTTCTTCATATCAAACAAGGATTACAATAGCCCTTTATATAGGCTTCAAAAACAAAAACGTCTAGGCATACCAATAGTCACAAATTAAACTCCTATTTTAATACCATAAAGATAAATGTCATAAATGAGTAAGTTACTTTTATTCTTCCATAACCTATGTCTCTTCCCCTTCTAAACTTATGACCCTTGTACTTCTAAAACTCATGCTATTAACCTCATTTATTCTAACATTTTAATTTGATATTCCAACACGCCCCTTCAAATAAAAATGTCTTTATGCCAAGCATGTATCTTAGCCTCATGAAAGTTTCACCTGATAATGGCTTGGTGAATATGTCTGCTACTTGTTCAGTGGTGTGACAATGCTTCAGTTCAACGGTTTTCTGCTTTACATGGTCTCTGAGAAAATGAAACCGTGTATCTATGTGTTTGCTCCTCCCATGATGTACTGGGTTCTTTGCAAGCTGGATGGCTGATTTGTTGTCCACAAAAATTACAGTCGAGTCTTCTTGTGGATGATCCAACTCCTTTAATATGTTTCGCAACCAAATTGCTTCACATACTGTAGATGCAGCCGCCACATACTCTGCTTCACATGAAGATAAAGCTACAACTCCTTGCTTCTTTGAGGTCCATGAAAATGCAGTTGACCCAAGATAGAAGACATAGCCTGTGGTGCTTTTTCTCTCATCTTGATCACCTCCCCAGTCACTATCTGAGTAACCAACTAGTTGTGCATTTTCATCATATGCATAGAAGAGACCTAGGTTGAGTGTGCCTTTGATATACCTTAGTATCCTCTTCGCAGCTAGCCAGTGAGATTCATTCGGTGTCTCCATATAGCGACTCACAAGTCCGACTCCATAAGTAATATCGGGCCTTGTGATCGTCAAGTATCTCAGGCTGCCAACTAGACTTTTGAAAAGAGTTGAATCCACGAAACGTCCGTCTCCTTCTCTTGATAGCTTCATTCTGATGGCTACTGGGGTGTTTACAGGGTTGCATTCATTCATCTTGAACTTCTCTAAGATCTCCTTCATGTACTTCTTCTGGGATATTAAAATCCCCTCTTATTGCTGCTTCACTTCAATGCCAAGAAAATAGGACATTAATCCATTGTCCGTCATCTCAAATTCATTGAACATTACCGCCTTGAATTCAGCAAGCATCTCGGTACTGCTTCCCGTGTACAATAAATCATCAACATAAAGACAAATTATTAGAAATTCGCCTCTATGGTTCCTCTTCATGTAGATGGCATGTTCATAGGGACATTTAATGAAGACGTTTTGATGAAGATAGCCATCAATTCGGGCGTTCCACGCCCGTGGTGCCTGCTTTAAGCCATACAAGGCTTTCTTCAAATGGTACACTTTGTCTTCTTGCCCTTTCACAAGAAAGCCTTCTGGTTGTTGCACGTACACCTCTTCCTCAAGAACGCCATTGAGGAATGCTGACTTGACATCCAAATGATATATATTCCACCTGTGATGAGCTGCAAGTGAAATTAATAGTCTCACCGTATCTAGTCGAGCAACCGGAGCAAATACTTCTTCATAGTCGATGTCGTACTTTTGTTTGTAACCTTTCGCTACAAGCCTCGCCTTGTACCGATCAACTTCACCATTTGATGTGCGCTTGATCTTGTACACCCTCTTGACCCCTATTGTCTTGTGATTTTGTGGAAGAGTTGTCAACTCCCAAGTGTCATTCTTTTGGATGGCGTGGATCTCCTCCTCCATTGCTGTTCGCCAACTATCTTCTTTTACGGCTTCTTGAAAAGTGAGAGGTTCATGATCAGCATATAAGCAGAAAAGATTTGACTCTTCGTCTTCTTCTATCTGCTCATAGATCTCCCTGAGGCTTCTCATTTTGATGGGACCTCGTTGCATGGTAGATTCGCTGCTACTACCTTCCCCAGAAGATGGAGATCCTCTTGCAGGAGAGGGTGTAGAGTGTGGAGGAGATGATGGTGTACCTAGTGATGGTTCCTCATGTAGAGACTCATCGGGTTCATTCACCACTGGTTGATCTTCATTGCTCCAGTTCCATGCTTCTTCTTCATTAAAGACAACGTCTCTACTAACAACTAGTTTCTTGGTTAGTGGATTGTAGAGCTTGTATGCCTTCGACTCCTCGCTATATCCGATGAAAATGCATTTTTCACCGCGATTATCAAGCTTCTTCCTTTTGAATTCAGGTACTTGAGCATATGCAACACAACCAAAAATTCACAGGTGTGCCACACTAGGCGTGTAACCGCTCCATGCCTCTTGAGGTGTCTTGTTCTTCACTATCTTTGTGGGGCATCGGTTGAGCAAATAAGCTGAGCACGCCACGGTTTCTGCCCAGAACTGCTTTGACAATCCCTTTTCTTTGAGCATGGTTCTTGTCATGTCGAGGATGGTCCGGTTCTTTCTTTCTGCAATGCCATTTTGCTGTGGTGTGTAGGCAGTAGTAAACTGTCTCTTTATACCTTGCTCCCTGCAATATTCTTGAAACAGATTTGAGGTGTACTCACCACCTCGGTCAGATCGAAGAATTTTTAGCTTGTGGCCGCTCTCTGCTTCAACTAAAGCTTTAAAATGTTTGAATGTAGTAAAGGCAGCAGATTTTTCTTTAAGAGTGTACACCCACAACTTTCTACTGAAGTCATCAATGAAAGTTATAAAATATCTATTACCTCCCAAAGAGACGGGATCGATCGGTCCGCAGATGTCGGTGTGAACAAGTTGCAATGGTGCCTTTGCTCTCCATGATTTTCCACTGGGAAAAGGAAGTCGTGGTTGCTTGCCGATTACACAACCTTCACAAATATGATTTGGTGAATCAATTGTTGGTAGACCTCGTACCATGCCAGCTGTAGACAATAACTTCAAACCACTTGTAGGCTGTCTAAAAATCACAATAGATAGCTGATCCCCATCAAACATCGATGATGGAAGTTACAATCTGATGACTTCCAGAAGGCTACAATTTGAAGACTTTCACGTAGATCGCTGAAGGTTACAATCTGATGACCTTCACGATAACCGATGAGAGCTCTAGTCAAACAGTCTTTACAATCAACATCGAGAGTTACAATCTGACGACTCTTTCATATCAAAGAGCTAAAGTAAAGATTACAAAATGATGATCTTTGCAAATCTTCGATAGAAAGAGACTACAAATCGACGGTCTCTTCAAATCAAGATGTGGAAGTCCTTCCCGCGTACCAGCATCAAGATGTGCCGCGTTCATAGCCACGAACGCAGCTCAAACGCAGCTCCAAAAGTTGCAAACGCAGCTCAGATTCGGCCGCCAACGCAGCTTCCAAATCGCTGTAAACGCAGCCTTCAAACGCTATAAACGCAGGTCACATCTAGCTCCAAATGCAGCTCAGATTCGGCCGCCAACGCAGCTTCCAAATCACTGTAAACGCAGCCTTCAAACGCTGTAAACGCAGGTCACATCTAGCTCCAAACGCAGCTCAGATCCGCTGCTAAACGCAGCTCTTAAATCGTACAAACGCAGCTTCCAAATTGCTGTAAACGCAGCTCAGATCCGCTGCCAAACGCAGCTCTTAAATCGCTGCAAATGAGCTTCCAAACACAGCTCTTAAATCGTACAAACGCAGCTTCTAAATTGCTGTAAACGCAGCTCAGATCTGCTGCCAAACGTAGCTCTTAAATCGCTGCAAATGAGCTTCCAAACGTTGTGTCCGAGCTTCCAGATGCTACGTTCAAGCTTTTAGGCATTGCGTTTGGACACAGAATTCATGCCAGAACGCGGGCCTGCGTTTGACTCGTTCAAACACGAGCTGAACGGTTTCAAAACCGTTTCCCACGATCTGAGGGGATCACAACTCCACTCAGGAGTGATTTAAGGGGGCGGTTACATCCCATTAGCCCCACTTAGGAGCGAATTAAGGAGGTGGTTACACCCCTTAATCCCCTATAAATAACTAAAAATCAATTCAGTTCAGGGTTCGGTCTGTTGGAACTTCTTGGCAGCGAAAAGAGGATCATTCATCCTTCGGTTGAAGCTTTGGAGATCGGCAACAAGATCTTCTTCATTCTTGGCTTATAACCGACTTTCGGTTAAATCAACTCTTTCATAGAGTTTTAAACTCGTTCAGAGTTCTCCACAACGTCAAATCGTGAGGAGAAGATCACGTTCCAGTGAAATAAGGCATCGGATCGTCAACGGAGAGCAAATTCGACGCAAGCATTCGAAGGAGGTACTCCATCGCCACCGTGAAGAACCCAGAATTAAACAAAGGGGAGAATCCAGATCATTCTCCTCTCTTTTGTAATCGGAATCCAAATTGTAATTGATTTTGAGAGGAATACAAGTCAATTTTTCTTTCATTGTCTTTTTACTGCAAATTTTCCCTCAAACACCACTGAAGTTTAGATGGCCGAAGCGAAGATGCCACCTCCATGACTCATTCTCCATGAGTCCTTGAAAACACTTGTCGACTTTCGTGTTTAGATGCAAGGGAAACATGCGGTTCCTTGTCATCTTAACACAAGCTATGAGGCCTCCATTTGTATTTTTCAACCAAAGATGGTTGTTCTCCATATATACTTTGTATCCCTTTCCGAGTAATTGACCGATGCTAAGAATATTACTTTTCATGTTAGGAATATAGTAAACATCGGAAATATACTCGGGCTTACCATCCTTTTGGTAGATCTTAATCTTCCCTTTGCCTTCAACCGGGAGTTTTGAAGAATCTCCGAGGCTCACACTTCCATGAACTCCTTCTGCGAGTTCCATGAAAAGTTCTTTCTTCCCGCACATGTGGTTGCTAGCACCCGAGTCAAGGTACCAAGCATCATTCTCAACACTTGAATCATCATTAGCAAGAAGAAGCGTAGAGTTGTTACCCACATCATTTGTTGCTTCGGCGACTCTAGTACTTGCTCCAAAACTATGGAACTAGCCTTCTTTTGCATTCGTTGTTCATGAACTTGGAGAGATCCCAAGAGCTCCTCTATTGAGATATCCTCCAAATTCTTTGACTCCTCAATTGCCGCCACCACGTGCTCGAATTTTGATGTGAGGGATCGGAGCAACTTCTCCATCACTCGGATGTCCTCCATCTTCTCTCCATTTCTCCTTATTTTATTCACAATTAGAAGTAATCGTGAATAATAATCGGAGATTTGTTCTTCATCTTTCATTTGAGCGGCTTCAAGATCGCCCCTCAAAGTTTGGAGGCGAATTCGCTTCACCCGCTCGACACCTTTGTAGATGGTCGCAAGGATTTCCCATGCTTCCTTGCTTGTCGTTGCTTCGGCAACTCTCTCAAAGGTAGACTCGTCCAACCCTTGATAGAGTAGAAAACGAGCCTTGCTATCCTTCTTTCTTTGTTCTCTGAGAGCCTTCTTCTCTTCGGCGGTATAGGTGGCTTCTACTTCTGGGGTAGGTTCCGTGAACCCATCAATGATCAGCTCCCACAACTCTTGAGAACCAAATAAGGCTCTCATTTGGATTGACCAACTCTCATAGTTATCTTTCAATAATTTGGGCACTTGAGAATTGACAAGATTATTTGTGGTAGCCATGAGAAGAAGAGTGAATAGGAAAATTGGATAAAGTGGCTCTGATACCACTGATGACTCTTAAGTTTACGAACTTAGAACTCTTTCAAATGAAGACAAAGAACTCACTTATATTTCTTCAATTTTCTTTCTTCATATCAAACAAGGATTACAATAGCCCTTTATATAGGCTTCAAAAACAAAAACGTCTAGGCATACCAATAGTCACAAATTAAACTCCTATTTTAATGCCATAAATATAAATGTCATAAATGAGTAAGTTACTCTTATTCTTCCATAACCTATGTCTCTTCCCCTTCTAAACTTATGACCCTTACACTTCTAAAACTCATGCTATTAACCTCATTTATTCTAACATTTTAATTTGATATTCCAACATTTTACTGCTTTTAAAAGTCGATGAAATAGACAAAAAGGGTTAATACTTTTGCTATCTACTATTTCATAAATTTGGAAGTTACCTCTCTTACACATTTTTACACTTATAGATTATAGTACTTTTGTCAAATAAACAAGCCCTTATGTTCACAAAGGGATTGTTTGGTTGACAGGAAATACAACTGTGGTAGCTAATTGTCTCCCTTAAAAATCCTCCATAAAATATTGTTTCGATTTTGTCTTTTTTCGATTGGCATACTAGTACCACTCATAATTAACCTCGGAGGATTTCCATAATTATGGAAATTATTGTGGGTGAGAAAATTCCTAGCATATTTTGACATTTTGTAATACAATAAGAAAAAAACCAAATCCATAGTATCTTGAGGTTATGTGTATATATGGACATAGGTGCATGGATATGGAAATCTTTGCTAATAAATATAACACTGTCTGTGAGCTAAAAATGTCAACTTCAAAATTAAATATGTGTTTCTCAGGTGGTCCACACCTAGCCATAAGAGACGAATAATAATGGGGTCACCATCAAACCGAAATAAATAATAGGTTCACCAATTTAAAGTTTCATGTTTCACTTGGTTGTACATTCAGTTTTAATTTATTTCTCTGTCTTTTTTATTTTTTGTTTTTTATTATTTTTTTCCTTTTTGTTGGGAAAATGACAAATCACTCGAGAAACTTACCTCTTATGTAAATTATTACTTTGTTTTAATTATTTGCAATCGATACCCAATATTATTTCGGTGTACGGGCAGAAGAGCTCAAAGCCCATTAGCAAGCATTCAATAAAAAAAACTAATTCGCATGTAAGAATTTTTTAATTTCTAACTCCTATAGGATTAGGCTCTTATCTCTTACTAAATGGCCCAAATATTGCACTAAAACTTCGAAGTTGTGATAAGGATTAGAGCTATATTTTCTTATCCTAACATGTCTCCCGTAGATCGAGCGTCCTTTTTTATGTGCTAAAATATGAGCTTATGCAACAATGTCAACTTTTTAAAAACTGCATTAAATTCATGACTGGTGGGATTAAATGTGAATTGCTCCAATACCATCTTAAATAATCCAACTATTGCATCCAAACTTTCACTGAGGGTGTTTGTGGAAAAATTTGCAGTAAAAGAAATAAAAGAAAAATTGATTTGTATTCCTTTAATCTCAGTTACAATTGGATTTTCTGGTTACAAAAGAGAAGAGAATGATCTGGATTCTCCCCTTTGTTTAATTCTGGGTTCTTCACGGTGGCGATGGGATGCCTCCCTCGAATGCTCGCGTCGAGTTTGCTTCTCGTTGACGATCCGACGTCTTGTTTCACTGGAACGTGGTCTTCTCCTCACGATTTGACGTTGTGAAGAACTCTGAACGAGTTTAAAACTCTATGAAAGAGTTGATTTAACCGAAAGTCGGTTATAAGCCAAGGATGAAGAAGATCTTGTTGCCGATCTCCAAAGCTTCAACCGAAGGATGAAGGATCCTCTTTTCGCTGCCAAGTAGTCCCAACAGACCGCACCCGAAAGATCCAGCCCTGATCTGATTATCAAAAATCCGATCTTTAACTCTGTTGAGTTTGTCGTTATTTATAGGGGATTAAGGGGTGTAACCACCTCCTTAATTCGCTCCTAAGTGGGGCTAATGGGATGTAACCGCCCCTTAAATCACTCCTGAGTGGAGTTGTGATCCCCTCAGATCGTGGGAAACAGTTTTGGAACTGTTCAGCTCGTGTTTGAACGAGTCAAACGCAGGCCCGCGTTCTGACGTGAATTCTGCATTCAAACGCAGTGTCTGGAAGCTTGAACGCATCGTCTGGAAGCTCAGACGCAGCAATTAGACGCTGCGTTTGCAGCGTTGGAATCTACGTCTGAGCTGCGTTTGCAGCGATTTGGAAGATGCGTCTGGCGGTGATTTGAGCTGCGTTTGGCGGCGATTTGAGCTGCGTTTGGCAGCGATTTGAGCTGCGTCTGTCAGCGATTAGAGCTGCGTCTGGGTTGCGTTTGCAGCGATTTGGAAGCTGCGTTTGAGCTGCGTTCGTGGCTATGAACGCGGTGCGTCTTGATGCTGGTGTGCGGGGAGGACTTCCGCAGCTTGATTTGAAGAGACCATTGATTTGTAGTCTCTTTCTGTCGAAGCGTTGCAAAGATCGTCATTTTGTAATCTTTACTTTAGCTCTTTGATATGCAAGAGTCGTCAGATTGTAACTCTCGATGTTGATGGTGAAGGCTGTTAAACTAGAGCTCTCATCGGTTGTCGTGAAGGTCGTCAGATTGTAACCTTCAGCGATCTACGTGAAAGTCTTCAAATTGTAGCCTTCTGGAAGTCGTCAGATTGTAACTTCCATCATCGGTGTTTTGATGGGGATCAGCTATCTATTGTGATTTTTAGACAGCCTACAGAACCCCCTCCAAAGTTTTCGAAAGTTCGCGGTTGACTGGGACGAATTTTCGGAATACTTTGGATCTCAACTCTGATCTTGGAGCTGTTGATTCCTTGTGGTAAAGGATTTGTTCTCTGCACTTGCTTCGAAGGCATCTTGGTTGAAGGGATTTGCACGTAGGACCTGTGTGAAGGTATGCGCCATAATCCTGCTTCTGGAATGTGGGGGTGGACCCTGCATTTTGAACTTGAGACACGGGTGTGACCTCGGCGTTTGGTTTTTGCATCGCGGGTCTGACCTAAGCGTTTGGTTTTTGCATCGCGGGTCTGACCTAAGCGTTTGGTTTTTGCATCGCGGGTCTGACCTAAGCGTTTGGTTTTTGCATCGCGGGTCTGACCTAAGCGTTTGGTTTTTGCATCGCGGGTCTGACCTAAGCGTTTGGTTTTTGCATCGCGGGTCTGACCTCAACGTTTTGACTTAAGACATGAAGTGGCTTCCATGCATTTTTGACTAAGTCTTTGAGACTTGTCTTCAGCTTATTCGTTTCAAGTCTCGGCTCAC